CCTAGTTTGCTATTGGAGATGATGGCTGCAAGACCAGACCTCTGACAGTTGTCAGTCATGATCCTTAACTCCACTGGAAGACAGCAAGGTCTTCATCAAGGAGCGACAAATAGGAAACCATGCAGAAAAGCAGAGGTGGCTATTTGCCTCTTCAGTGATGTCTTTCACCATGATTTCAGAGCATGTTACAAGAGCTGAGTATTTGAACCTAACCAAAACCACAGTCCCTAGGTGCCACCTGCCTTGTGTTATAGCAATAAGGTGGAGCTGGTTTCATAGGCAGGGCCTCAAAAAGCTGGATTTGGTTCTTAGATTTTTGGTGTGACCCTGGTTATGTTATTTGCCCTCCCACTACACCTGGAGCCCCTTGCTGCATGAGGTGAGGTGAAGGCACCATCCTTGGTCAAGCCCAAATCCCCCAGAGGGGCAGAGCATGTAAGAAGTTAAACAACTTGTTCTCGTGGGACGTACACGCTGCATCGCGCAACTGGGCCTTTATGCTCATTGCGTTGTGGCCTCTCCACTGTCCCCTCTGCATCTGCTTCTGCCAGGCCCATCACCCTGGCGCTGTGCCCTGTCTGGGCCAGTGCCCTCCACGCGCTCCCGCGGGCCTCCCCAGTGCCCGCCGGCCGCCCAGGTGAGCACTGCCACCCGGCCCACGCGGCACAAGGGAGCCAGGGCTGGGGGGGAGGTCGCACATCACCTGACCCCCTTCAGCCAACTCGCTGAGACAAGACGTCAAGTTAATGAGCCCTCAGGCCTGTAATTAGCTGTCAATTACCTCAAATTAATCAACTCCTCGCCTAATTAAGCATAATCGGCAGGTGGGCAAAAAACGGGCCATTGTGTGGGAGCCATGAGAAAAGCATTTCTGGCAAACTTGGTTAGGATCAGCGGTGCATTCCCTGCCTGGCTGCACCACGGACACCCGCGCCGCCCGGCCCCGCTTAAAGGCGCCCCATCCCCTTTCGGCCCGCGTGCCGGGCGAGAGGGAGGCGCGAGGGGGCCGCGCGCCAGCCCTGACGCTGCCCCTGGCCCCTCGGCGAGGCGGCCGCCTCCGCACGCCTGGAGAGAGGAGAAGCCCCAGACAGCTGGGCATGGAGAAAGGAGCAGGGTACGGAGTGGAGGAAAAGGAGGAAATACAGCAATTTCAGAAAAATAATGCTACAGAAGAGCCACATCTGGACCCGGGGGTGGCAAAGGAAGGATCTGACCCAGTTTGGCTGAACGGCTGGGTTTTATTTTTAGCTGGGAGAAGAGAGGTGTCTGCAGGGATGGGGAAAGTCCAGACTGGCTTCCCCTCCTCGTCTTCTACCTGTAGTCACTGCTCTCTTCGCTGTGCTTCCCATCTTCATGTGTTTTGATTTCTCTCTGAGCCCCGTGAATAAAACACACCTTGTGTTTGGGGAGCCAGGCCTACCTTGTTTATGAGTCTACCTGCTTATGGTGTGATGAAGATACATGTAGATGGAAAACGGAGTTTCAACGGGTATTAATTACTACCAATGAGTCATGTTGCATTAATTTTCATGTGAAAGGAACACAGCCCAGATCCTACAGAACTGTGTTTGGAGGAAGGCAGAGGATCGCTGCCGGGGCGGGGAAGGGAGCAGGTTTCCTGCCAACTTCCAAATGTTACCAGCACGCAACACATAAACTGTTCCCTGGGCCAGTGGCTGGATCCTGGACTGTGTGTGCTAAATCCCTGCCTTTCCACACCAGACACTGGCTTTCTTCTAAAGCAAACAAGCCCCAGTGTCCTTCTGAGCCACTGAAGCAAGATGGGCTGAGGAAAATGTAACTCACCATAATAGTATTGTACGTAATATTAAAGTGAAAGGTTTTGACTATGCATGGAAAGTCCATTTTTTATGTAGCCAGATTATCACCCAGCGTGCCGGATTTACACTGCATTAGTGATCATCAAGATTAGAGCCGAATCCCCAGATAACAAATGGGAACACAAGACGTCAATTTATGACATAATAGCAATAGTAATACAGCAATAATCATGTTCAACCGAAGACGGGTGTGCTGGAGGGTGAGTCAGGGCTCTCAGTTCTGAAGAGAGAGGCTGCCTGTGTGTGAGTGACTTTGATTAGAAAAATCGCTCCCTTGTGTGCAGAAGGATGCTTTTATATGTCACTCTTGTCAGAAAGGAAAATGAAGGACCCAGCACAGGTCTGGAGGAGCTGGTGCATGCAGCACTTGGCAATGGAGGGTTGAGTTGGGAGATGCAAGCTGCCCCCTTGGCCAGGTGTCCATGCACGTTGCAAATGCAGCCTGGATCTCTAAAGAGAAGGTACGTGCTAAGGTGCATGTTAAGGAAGGTACATTTCGGTGCCTGCCACCTCTTGAAGCCCAAGCCCTGAGGAGAGGGCTAGACTCTGCTGGAAGGACAGCTGCTTTCGGGGGAATCAGGAACCACAACAGCATCCTTACTTCCCTCAGTTTATGAGTTTTCCTTTCCTTTTCCTTCCAGGTGTCTTCTTCTGGCTGCTGCTCTGTCCTCTCTCTCTGGGACCCATCAGCACATTCCAAGGTCCAGCCTGGAGAAGGTGTGGTGAGCACTGGCCCAGGGGCCGAGGCAGGAGCCACATGCCGGGGCTAAGCAGAGCTCTCCTGCAGCTCGCTGTTTATTCACGAGAATGCTGCAGACACACATCGATTTCCCCAGCTCATTCCCATTGAGAGCTGGAACACTCAAGTGACTTGCATCAGGGTTGACTAAGCATTTCTATTATCAGTTCCCCTTTTTAATCACTCATAACGCTTTCAGTCTGGGAGTGTGAAGTTCTCCAGATCTGATCTCCATCCAGGAAAGCATCCAGTGCAAGCTTTCATTTTGCTTCATTTGAGCAAAAATGGCTCAGACGTTTATGAGGATAAGTGTCCGAGCCGCAGAATCCTTATCCCATTATAAAACAAAATTCTATCTTTGTAGAAATGAGAAAAACAGGGAAGCAGGCAACAGAAATTTGTTAGGGCTAGACTGATGGAGCAGCTTTCAGTGATCCACTGAAAATCAATTGTGACAGGGCTGAGTTGTTACAAGTTGAAAAATTGCGCTCTGAGAGGCAGTGCGATTGCTGGCGATGTGGGACTGCTGCTAACGGCTCCAGATCTCACAGATCATGGAAATCCATGCTGGGCAAGGGTGCACAGTGCTGTACGACTGGCCAGCGCCTTGCTCAGGAAGCCAAGGGGCTGCACAAAACCAGCTCATAGTCGGTAAAACCGTCCGCCTACGACTACCTGCCTGGAGCCCCGTGGCTGGCGGGTAGGTCCTCTGTGAGGCCTGAAGTTCATCTTAATGTCCACAAGGAGGAAGGGCACATGGGCAGCTTCAGAGTAGATTAGAGAATCCAGTAGCTGTTTTGGCACTAGGAAGGAAAAAAAAGTTAAGGTATTTTATATCCCTGGCAGTGTTTGAAGTGCACTGGTCGCTCTGGTTGCATCAGACTGCTGTGCCACAGGCTGTGCCCCAGATGGGAAAATGCTCTTTTCCTCCTTGGCTCTTCCCAGACAGACACAGAGGAAGCTGAGTAAGAATGAGGCCATGCTCTTTTCTTTGTAATAATAGTGATAATAATAATAATATAAATAAAAGGTAGTGGCACTTATGCTGATGACTCTGGGGATATGTGTGCACATATACGCTTGCAGGGCTGCTTAGAAGCGTGCAGCCAGATGCAAGCATGCTTTGCCAGGAGCGTGTAGCTGTGCTGGCACGGTGGCAAGCCTGAGCTCAGAGCCTTGAGGGGGCACCAAGATACTAGGCCGGGAGTGGAGACGCCCTAGCACAGCTCCACTGCCGGGACAGAGCTGGCGCCCAGCCAGCTCGGCAGGCAGAGCAACTTGCATCTGTCCATGCCTGTCTGTGTAGACATGCACTTAATAACCATTACTGCTTTCCAGAGCAAGTTTCTAGGCTTCATTATATTTTTACTTGTCTTGCAGGGAATACAGCAGGAGCTCTGATAAATGATGAAAATGGGTTGCTTGCTTTTCAGAGAATTTATGTGACAGTTTCTCTTTCTCACTCTCAGCCCAAGAAAGTCCTTCATGCCTTTCCATGCTGCTGCTATCCCTGGGAAGCAGCAGACAACTTGCTCTGATTTCGGGAGCCAGTGGGCAGCACAGCACCGCTTTCACAGCAATTTCACCAGCCGTGGGTCAGGGCCATATGCAAAGCCGCTTACAAGCAGGTTGCAGCCAAGCTCAGGCAACTAAAACCCAAACCCAAGAGCCTAAATGACAACCAGGAATGGCCACAGATCATCACTCTCACAGCTCCTAGGAAGCAAATGCCACAAAAGATTTTACTGAACAGCTAGGCATTTTGTGGAGAGAGACGTGGAGGGGGAAAGCAGACAGGAGTGGGAGAAAAGAGGAACCTAGCCTTAGACTGGGGATAGACCCCGAAGGCACACAGTCCTAGTGGGCCAGGCTCTCTTTTCCTTCGCCCTGCGGTTCTTCTCATGATGCCCTAACTTTAAGAGCCCTCGAAGAGAAGAGGGAACCAAGGTGTCGTGGCCTCTTCTTTGTTTTTAATTACTTCCCATTTTAATCTTGATTTGCATGTCGATCTCTCAGAACTGGGCCAGGGACTCCACAAAGCCCTCGTCAGCAACTCCCCCAATAATAAACAGGAAAAGGCTTAAGGGGCAAATCACTTGCATGTTAATGAGACTGTTTGCTGGAGTCAAGAGAGAAAACAGCAAACAAACAAATGGACTGAATTCCAGCGGCAGCTGTTTGCTCCTTAATCTCGGCTCGTCAGAGCTGCCCTTTGATGGGACACAATCTACACAAACGATTGTGCTAAATCTTCTAATCTACGTCCTCATTATTACATCCCTTCTTACGCATGTAAATCAGGGACAAACTCATTTTAATATGTAGATAGATTATGGAAGGGAAGGGGAGGGGATTGGAGGGGAAAAGAGCTGCTGATGGTGTCTGTAACTCTGTGTTTGAGGGGGTGTTAATGAGGGGAGATGGCTGCAGAGAGCCCCCAGGAGCAAGGGGGGGACCTGTGGCCAGGGGACAATGAGGGGCTACAGAGCGACGAGGAGGCTGGCACTGGCGCGGAAGTGCTGGAGGAGGCCCGGGACTGGGGCACATTGGCAGGGCTGGTGTGGCAGGGCAGAGAGCTCGGCCTCCTCAACGAGCTGTGGTTAGGAGATGTGCGGGATGCACAGCCATGGTTAGCTGGTGGGCTGGAGACTAGACCAGCTTTACCCAGGCTGGAATAACAGGCTACGTCTCGGCTGTGGAGTCTCCGGAGGCAGCCTGCTGCTTTTCAGATGAATGTCGCTAGAGCCATGGTCATGATTTTTAATAACATTCTAAGCAGTTGCTTCAGTAACAAGCATGACTACAGGAAAAAGAGCTCTCCTGCATTTCCCTGACTTCTAATCCAGCTGCTGTATGCAACCTCTTCCTTACTCCACTAGCACTTGCCTTCCACAGGGGCAACTTGATCATGCAGCACCAACTTATTTACCTGAGGCAGCTTCTCCTCCTCTTCTCCAGGATTACCAGCCTTAAACAGCAAGGTAAATTGAGAAAAATATTTTAAAAAGAAAAAAAATCTAAGTAGTAAATTCTCCGTTGGCCTCATACCTTTGAGGGAACCATACAGGGGACAAGCGGTAGGTTAGAGCACAAAAGGTCAGTACAAAAGAAGAGCAAATGCATGCAGGAGCATAATCAAAAAAGCCAAGTATAAATAAGGCTGCAAGTAGCAGGCTAATCAAAATCATTCTGTAAATTCATTAGCAGCAAGAGGAAGACTAAGAAAAATATTTGTTCACTACTCGTCTGGGAGAGAAAATTATTGATAGGGGGTAATATTAGAGAAATTAGTAACAGTGATAAAGGAGTAAGATCT